ACTTCTTTTTAAAGTTTATTTCCAAGGAGAAGATAGCTGCTCTGCTGTAGAATTCAAGCTGAAAACCTTGCTTGCAGTACTTTCTTTACTGGTAGATTTTTTCCCCCTCCACATTCTGCTACTATCATGAACATTTTAATAGTTTTTTATTATTATATTTGTGCTAAGTCCCAAATTAGGGGAAAGTAAGCAGAAGGAAACCCCAGAGGAGGCAGTAAAGGAGGGCACTTCTCCGAGAGAGGGACAGAAGGAGGAGGACTCACAGCAGAAACGAGACACGAAGGGTGAAGAACAGCAGCGGACCCTGAAGCCCGAGGAGGCTGTGAGGCTTAGTGAGGAGCTGAGCCATATGAATCCGAGCCTCCCTCGGTCTCAGAGCTCTGGGGACAGCTCAGATGACAGTAGCGCCCAGGTAGGTGCCATAAACACGTGCTCCGACTGGGTCCATTTCCTCTGATCAGCTGAGGATGTCAGCTTAATTTTTATATCATTATTAACATTTATCTGTTGGCCAATATCATAACCATGGCCTGAATGTTAGTACAATAGCAGCCAAAATAAAAGACATATATATATATACACCAAAATCTCCAATAAGCCCATCACTTGTGCTTTATTGTAAAGGGTTCTTGGGCTCCATCTAGGCTCAGCAGGAAAGTGTGCTGAGTGATTGTCAGTGTCTGGCCCGGGCAGGTGGGATAGGGAATGGCAGGATTTATGCCACATTTTCTCTTCCTGGTACCTAGCCTAGATATACCAAATACTTTGTTTAGGTGGGGGAAAGACCACAGACTTGGAATTACTTTAAATATGGCTATTGCTAGGAGAACTGAAAGAAGTGACTACCAGCCACACCTCCATCCTTATACCTCAATTTTACAGGTTCCCTCTGTACAAATTAAGGTTTCCCTACACACACCTTTCTAGGAATTATTCTGAGATCCACAGAGGGAGGCTTTGTACCCACAAGTAAACCAACTTCAAAAGACTGATATTAATATATCTGAGAAGTGATTCAAGTATACATTTCGAAAACAAGAAGACTCTGAGTAAAAGAAGTCAAAAATATATTTGAAAAGAGGTTTGGATATAGAGCAAAAACTAGGCAAAAGTCATAGTAAACGGAAAATGTATACCTGAAAGGAGATTCAGATACATTTGAATGAGAAAGGGCGTCCCTGGATTTGTTCAGAAGACCGAAAGGAAGTATGATATTGGATATTCAAAAAGAGGTTAATTTGACACCTCCCAGACAATCCCTTTATTGGACAGTGATTCAGTGTAGGAGGCTTGGACAGAGGCTAAACACCATGGTCAGAAAGATGAGAAAATCTTTGTCTATGAGCTTAAAATGATCAGGTACTTTTAGAATAATGAAATTTAGAGTATGAGAATTCACACCGTGGTTAATTTATTAATTTTCTCTAATTTACCCTTTCCCATTTTTGAAGAATTATTTCTCAATACTCAGGGAAGGGGAGGTGAAAAACTATGACATATAAAAATCCTATGGGAAATCTGGGGGAATAGCCACTTTGTGAAAGGACAAATTTATATACCACTTAGCCTCTTAAGGTTTCCTGAATTCTTGCATAGTTTGGTAATTTTTTTCCATAATAATGACTTTGAATTATTGAAAAAAGTATGTTATTCTTATTCATTCATTCAGCCAGTATTAATCGAGTATCTTTGATGTGCCAGGCCCTGTGTTAAGGTACATACAGCAGTAAACGAGATAGATGTGGGCCTCATGGGAAAAAAAATGACATATTTGTATTTAGAAATTAACATTTCCAGAAACACTCACACACAATTTTGTTTACTTCTTTAAGCAAGCAAGGAAAAAAAATGCACTTTAGGCAGCTCTTTCCTGCAATATGCTGTGCAGTAATCATTTCAGAACCCCTTTCTGTGTATAGGTTCTTCAATCTACTGATGGCTATCGATTGTTCTACTTTTTAGTTCTTGTGTGTAGTTTTTAGTCTTCGCCCCTGTTGCAGATTATAGTGCTAGTACTTTGCTGCTATCCATGTGTGCTGTGTCGTTTTAGTCTCATCATGTGAAAATTGAACCAGCTGTAGGCTGAGACCAGATACCAAACTTTAAAGAATTCTCATAAATGGCAAATATATAGGAAAAAACTCTGAGAACCTCTATTTTGAGTAAGTATGTGAGCTAAATTGCTCATACGTATTTTGTGACATCAATTGTGGCTGCTGATTGCTTTGGGGGGCTTAATTTTTGCTTTTCAACAGTAACCCAGGTGAGGTTCCAATACCTGAATTCTAGATATTACTTTCCCACTGTTTTTGAAACAAGTTTAACTACCATTAACTATCTTAACTTTGTAGGTTTAAAATGTATTTCTTGTTTTTTCATAACATTATTGAATATTTATTATGCTCTAGGTGCAGTACTAGATACCCTGTGTATGTTAAGCAATATGATGACTCAGGAACATGATTGCTCCTACTTGATAGATGAGGAAACTGAGGCTTTAGATAGGTTAAATAATTTGCCTCGAATGACACTTTGTGGTGGAACCTGGGTCTGTCTGCCTTACAGCCTGACCTTTTAACGACCATGTCATCTGCTTCCACTTGCTGGGAGATTCAAAGAAAGCATATAGTTCTCACGTCAAGCTAATTTCCTAAGGAAAGCTGGCAAGCTGGCTCCTGAAGGCCCTCCTAGGGTGTCTGTCACAGATTTGGTGAATTTATTTGGGATTTAGCCCCTAGGCTTGCAGTCTCCAAAACTTTGATGTAATAGCCCTCCTAGAACAGATCTGAATCTTAGGGATAAACTTACATTAAACCGAACATTCAAGACTGTTGGTAAAATCCAAATGTCAATTAGTTATTCTTCTGTAATAGTTGATAAATATCATTTGAGCATGGTTAGACGAACGGTGCGTTTGCTCATAGGGAGCTAAGAAAGATAAGTCAAAATCCGAATGACGTTTGATGAGTAGGGGCCGGAACAAGCAGACTTAGTTTGATGACTCACATATTCACAGATTTTGATAGCCTCTTCCACCCACATGGACTGGATGAGAGTATCTAAAGCCAGTCGTCTTTAACTTCCCACAATAGGAATGATCTTGTCATTGAAACCTGTATATGAACTTGGTTCATGTTAAACTTTTATTTTATTTAAATAATCTTTTTCATATTAAAAGCTAGATTTTAAGCCTATAAAATTAAGATAATAACTTGTTTTATTTTAATTCTTAAGGAATCTTTCAGATGGAAGAGATATTAGGCACCATCTGCTCTCATGCGTGTAATTTGCAGATGAGTAAACTGAGACTCAGAGAGGATCACTGACATAGTAAACCTGTTCATTGATTCCCAAAAGACCCCTATGTACTTTGTGCTCTTACTTGATTCCCAGTAGCCCGTATGAGTCTTCATGCCTCTGTAATAACTTCCCGGGGGGAAGTAATCAATGGGTGGAAAAAAACAGAAATCTTTATGTTGACCGCTTGACTGGCTAACTGGGAGCTTCTTTAGCAGTTGCCTTTCTTGGAAAGTAATTTGTATGTCTACTCTGGCAAAGTGATTGGACTGGAAAATATAAGCAGGAAGAACTGCCGTTCTGGCTTTCCTCATCTTCAAAGCAGGCTAAAACTTCTGTACCTTTGTCCCATTGGTATAAATGGGAGCTTCTCTTGTTTTCCCTGTTTCGGTATGTTAAATGGCTGTATAGGCTGGTGATTACTAATTGTTAAAACCTTCTGTATAATGGTTAAATAAGAAGGAGGGAGGATTGAGGCTTTCCAGGCATCAGGAAAGCTCTTGTTTTCAGATGGAAGAGCACAGTGTAAAGTTAGGTAGCCTCAGCCATGCTGGGTAATGTAACTAAGTGCTTATTGCGTAGTAGGCACCGTGCTCAGCGCTTACATGTGCTACCTTACTTACCCTTTAGCTCCATCCAGTAGTTATCACTGTATCCACATTGTACGATGAGGAAAATGAAATGCAGAAAGATTAAGTAACCTCTCCAAGATCACCCAACTAAGTAAGTGAGTGTTGAAACCCAAAGTATCTAATTCCAAAGCTAAGGTTCTTAAGCATTACCGTATAATTACATTAAATTACATTAATACATGTAATTACATTAAGGAACTTTCTCTAGGGATCTTAGACACTTGCAGCTCTAAGACAAGCAGATTAGATTTAGACTGCCTTTCTGACTAAACCGAGATAGGAATTGAAGGGCTAGCAGGACGTGGGGAATTCTGTGTGGCAGTTCTGTTGTGAGCAAGATAAGCGAGAATAATGACATGGATTTTTCAGAAGGTCTTGGACAGGAAGCACACTGGACCAGGAGTCAGGAAAGTCTAAGCGTATCTCATCTATTCAACTGGATACGGTCGAATTTTTTGTCTACTCAGCACGCCTGCGTGTGCCTACCCTTTAGAAAATCTAAGTGACTCCTTTTTGGTCACGGTAGTTTTATTGTGCAGGAGGGACCTGACAAGAGAGTGTGTTGTTGAGGAGTAACTGAAGAATCATCAGGTAGTGAAAGGAAAGTGATGAGGAAGGCTAGGGATGTACCATCTCCTGCTAGATGTTCTCTTCCCCTTTGCCAACACACACCATGCCACTCACACACACACACAAACACACCCACTCTCCTTCTTCCCATATGGACTCTTTGAACTCCACTTTTAAAGCATGTTTTACTCTAAAACTGTCTGTGCTTCTGTTCTCCTTCATTGATATGAAAAATAAGAAAGTTAATTTCCTACACTTACTTGCTTTTGTTCACCTAATTTCTTTCATATTTTGACTCTAATATAACAGGAGTCAAATTGTATGAACATGTACAGCTAGCTGTAAATGTAAAAGAGTAACGTGTTGTAGGTGAGCCAACTCTGAAAATATTTCCATGTGAATATTCACATTCTGACAGTTCTAGTTCTGACAGCCGAAACCCACGTTTTACCAACATACTTTCAAATTGTCCATATTTCACTTGCAAAACGTTTGCTTTAGTATCCATCACCTGGAGAAAAACTGAAATACCAGCAGCAAGAAACACTTCACCAGAATTTGCACCGGCTCCAGGTTCTATACAACTCAGCTGAAAAAGAGCTTCGATACGAGCGAGGAAAGAACTTGGACTTAAAGCAGCACAATAGCTTACTTCAGGAAGAAAACATTAAGGTAACCCCCAACGGGTATATCCTTTATTGAAGGGTCTCAATTGCTCAGTTGAACCTGGGGATAAGCGAATCAAATTCCTCAGCTTGATAGTTCCTAATAGGGTCCCCAGGGAAGTGGACTGTGTGAACTATCTGGCAACTCCTTCCTTTAATTTTTCCCTACCAAGTAGGTACGCAGCTCAGTTGTTTCTCTATTATTGAAGGGGTGTGTGTGCTGTCAGCCTGTAAATATGAGGTTTTTCAGTTACGCGGTCTTAAATCATTCCTAGAACTTTCAGTACTTACTAAATGTCAGTGACCTAAACCAAATCTCTGGTGATACTGCCCTAATTCTATCTCGAGACATACTTATCCCTAATAGATGCATTCATTATTACTGGTTGGTTGAATCAAGTATCAGCTGCACCAAGGTGCAAATCATGAGAGCAAAGTTGTTCTTCCTGACATGAGTGCCTCAAAAAGTTAGGGGAACATTCCCCCAGGTGTGCTTGTTTTAAAATAAGCTATGTAGAACTGCCATCCATAGATTCATCTAAATTTTATGAACCACATAAATGTTCAGAATGAACCACCATGCAAAACAGAACTTTTCTTTTAATTATAATCTGTGAGGTACCTAGTTTCTGTAAGCCCCTATCCAGGGTTCTGGAATTCAGCATTCAACAAATATTTATGAGCATCAGTCCTACACCAGGAAGGCAATCTTATCAATACTGAGGGTTCAATGATAGGCAAAACAGACACAATTCTTATTTCATGGTGCAGGAGTCAGCACACTTTGGCTTATGGGTCAAATCCTGCCTGCCTTCTGTTTTTGTAAATAAGGTTTTATTGGCACACAGCCATCCCTGCTTATTTACGTATTATTGATGGCTGCTTCTGCTTTACAACAGCAGATTTAAGTAGTTCCAACAGAGACCATACGGCCCACAAAGGCTAAAATATTTACTACCTGGCCCTTTATATGAAAAGTTTGCCACCCCTGGTGCAGCAGGATCAATGACCTTATTCAAAAAGTGACATAAAAATGGACTAAGAAAAGTTCTCTACTTTTTAAGAACTCACAGTCTAGTAGGAGAGACAAAGAGGAAAACAAATAGTCATTTATCTCAAAACTGCATGGGAAGCCCTTCTAAGAAGTTCTAGCATCCAGGATTATGTGGATAAACTTCTTCCCTATCCTCACCCTTTATGGTTTTTTGAATGTTGATCACATTCCCTCAAGCCTTTGTAGTTTTTTTTTAATTAATTTTTTTTTTTTGCTGGAGGTAGAGGGGAGGTAACTTGATTGATTGATTGATTGATTGATTGATTGATTGATTAAGTGGAGGTACTGGGGATTGAACCCAGGACCTCATGCATGCTCAGCACACACTCTACCACTGAGCTATACCTTCCCCCCAAGCCTTTGTAATTTTAAATTAAATTCCAAATCACATTTCCCTGTAGGACAGCCTCCTACTTTTCCCTTCAAACAGATTTCTTAGATCATTTTAACTGTCCACTCTGAGTGTACTCAAACAATGCTACATCTTTTTCAAGGTGCAATGACCAGAAGAGCAACCAGTCATTACCTTTTATATATGGTTGGCACCCTATAAATAGTTGTCAAATTAATGAATGAATATAGATTGATAAAAGGAGAAGACATTTTTTGTTCTGTTTTTAATCTCTTTCATGGTGGGGTAAAATATTGGCCACTTTAGTAATGAGATATCAGTCTTTTGGCTGGTCCCTTAAGCCAGGTACCTAAGCTGAGTCATAAGCAATAGCCAATGACCTTATAGTGACAGTTTGTCCACTTTATCTCATGTTAACCTCCCAACTCTGAAGGCTTAGCATTTTATAGATGAGAAAACTGTTCAAGATGGCAAAGCTAACAAGTTGTAGAGTCAGAATTTAAACCTAGGTCAGTTTCTGCCCTTCCTGTGTAGAGTTATCTTTCCATATTAGCCCTTTCCTCAATTTGGGGTCATTTTGGAACCTCATCTTTGCAAACTTAGAGCTTATTTTTTAAAATACACTCAGAGATGTTCAAACTTTGTGTCTATGGGTAATTTTAGGCATACTTATAAGACCGGTTAAGAATCCAGAGTACTAATTTGTTGCTTTTAAACCATTTTAATGCAAAGTGTAATACTCAGAGAGTACATAAAGCATGAATATAGTTTAACAAAATTGTTGCAAAGTGATTACCCATGTAACCACCCTAGATGCACATGTTGTTGACCACAGCAGTGTTTGCTCCAGTGTTGTTGTCTTATTTCATCACTACCAGCATTGCCAAAATGCTAAGCATTGTTTCTGGGATCGGTGATCATAGGTCTCAGAGGCCTGTGGCCTTCTTGGCCTATGGAGTAAGTGGACAATATATTATGAAGCCTATGAACACTTTCTGTTTATAATAAGTTTCATAATCCTGAACAAATCCAATACACCAAATATTCCAACATTCAGTTTCTCCTTTGATGTCTTTGTTTCTTCTTCTACTCATTGTAAACTCTAAATTGAAACCAACGTGACAGGAGTCAGTGGAAGAAGGGGGATGACAAGATGATTTTAATCATACAAGGCCATATGTTCCCGGAGTGTTGGGAAGCCACAGAAAGATTTAAGGAGGAGGAGGGTCGAGTAGTTCAGTTTATGTTTTTGAATGGCTTCAGTGGAGAGAACAGATTAGAAAGGAGTAAAAATGGAAGCGGTATGACTAGCGCTATTGCTACGGCCCAGGCTAGAGGCGATGATGATCTCTATGAGGTTGGTGACACAAATGACATAAGTGGAAGATGCAAGACATGTGGAGGTAGAGTGACAGCACATGCTGGATTGGCTCATGATGGGCCAGGAAGCTCAAGCATGACTCTCAGGTCACTGGCCTGAACAAAAGTTTGGATGGTGACATCATCTCCTGAAATCAGGAAGACTGAGAATAATTTTGGAGGTGTGGGCACAATCTTTGCATGTATTGGCATGAAAGTGGTGTTTGAAATCATGGGAATGAACCTAGGGAGAGAAGGATTCACTCTCAAGGCCTGGAATAGTCTGATAGTACTTAGAAGTTGGGTACACTAGAGCAATCTACCAAAGAAACCAAGAAGCAACAGCAGAGAGGGAAATGAAAAGCCAGGAGAGCTTGGTGTCACCAACTCCAAGAGAGGAGAGCTTTCTGAGATGGGGTTAGTGACTGCTACTCACAGGCCAGGTGTCCACTGGGCTTACGATGGCAATGGGGAGGGAGGCCAGTAGTGCCCTTAGCAAAAGCAGTTTCATGAAGTAGTGGGAATGAAAGCCAGCTTGGAATAGACAGGGGGAGAAAAGGATGGAAACTGTTGAGACCATGCATGTATAGAAACTCTTAGGAAAGTTCCTTTGTCCAGCTGCCATCTGGCTAGACACACTTTGGCAAACCTTACTAAAACGCAGGAGCTCCAGAGAGGTAACCAGGCACGTGACACTGGTGTTTGTCAGCTCTTGGGGACTACACTTCTTTGATAGCAGCTCATTCTGGCTCATGTTCACATTCTTCCCACACTTACTTTTGTCACTTGTATTTACTCCCCACCTCTAGATGAAAATTGAACTAAAGCAAGCTCAGGAGAAGTTATTAGACAGCACAAAGACATGCTCCTCACTCACGGCAGAGTGGAAGCACTGTCAGCAGAAAATCAAGGAACTGGAGCTGGAAGTACTTAAACAGGCTCAGAGCATTAAATCACAGAACAACCTGCAGGAAAAGCTGGCTCAGGAGAAATCTAAAGTTGCTGATGGAGAGGAAAAGGTAATTATCCTCATAACAGCATGCACTGGCTATTACTACTGAAATCCTGCTTCCAGAGGGATTTTAAGAAATAGATATGGTGCCAACTTGATAGAACTCTAGGGTTTTTCTGTACTCTCCCATGCTTTCTTCTCTTTTGACTTCACCTACTTCTACAAATCTAGTAAAGATTGTGTATTTTATAAAAACTGCGTGAACTCAAAAAGGTAGGTTTCAGTAAATGTATAACATGAACTTCAAGAGCTGATGGAGACCAAATGAATTTTGCTTTTTACTTTCAAATTTTAAGAGACTTATTCTCCTCTCCTGCTGGATTGGCTGTTTGTACGATTTCTGTAATTTTTGGAGGGATGTGTGTTGAGAAATGAACTGTTTTGAAATATTGCCCCTGCATTTTAGGTTGCCTAACACCAGGTGGCAGTAGTACGTAACACTTGCACGTTTTGATCCGTGGGTTTGTCGGAGAGTCAAATCTTCATTAAAAATAAGTCATTTCATCAAACCACATAAATATAAAATAAACATCAAAAAGGAGATGACGGCGATCTGAATTAAATGCAAAAACCTAGCGTTGAGCTAAAGAAGCCGGCACAAAAGAGTTCATACTGTGTAATTTCATTTATCTAAGCTACGGTGATAGGGTAGTAGGTGTCTATATGAGGGATCTGAAATGGAAGGAGACATGAGGGAATCTCCCGTGGTGCTGGAAATATTCTTTACCTCGGTCCGGAAAAGGTAGTTATATAAATTGAGTAGTTGTAAGAGACGTACACTTTACCATATGCATGCTATTACTGCATTTTAAAAGTTTATTGATAAAATATATAGACTGGTAAAATTTAAAAATTTAAACAGTAAATTTTGGATTTGGATTTTGTGCAACAAGAACTCATATTCTGACTGCAGTTGGAAGAGTAAATTAGTCTACACGCTTCAGAAAGCAATTTGGCATTCGTATCTAGTCCAGCTAAAGATGTATATGCCATAGGACCCAGCACTTCCACCACCAGGCACAAACACTAGAGAAACTATTCTACGGCACTTATGTATCTGGAAACAGAAATACAATCATTTTCACAGTCACATTGTTCCAAACAGCAGAAAACTGGAAACAACCCAAGTGTCCCCTGACGTGAGATGGTGTAAATTGCATGTTTACATAATAGTGTTCAACACTGAAAATGAATGTAACTCTAAGTATATGCTGTAGTTCAATACAATATTGAATAAAAACCAAGTCACCGAAAACAGTAGGATTCCATTGATTCACATGTCAAAACAGTACAAAATAGTAGAAAATAAAAACCATGTCGTATCATTAAAGGAAAAAGCCAGAAAATGGTGAACACAAAATTCAAGATATTGGTTTTTCTCAGGTGGGGAACGAAGGGGAAATGATCAAAGATCACAAAGTAGACTTCAAATGTTTTGGAAATGTTTTCTTTCTTAAGCTGGGTGGCAGGTTCCAAAGTTTGGCATTTGTCCTTGACAGAGAAGCCAATGGCGTAATACTTTCACCAGAGGAATTAAGACTTGAATATCTTTAAGTAAGCATTTGCCCTAGGCAGAACTAAATGGGGCCGCTCAAAGGAGCTTGAGCTGGCCTCAGATGACTGGCTGCCCACTGCGTTAACCTTGAATCGTTCTACATCTTCACCTCTCCTGTGGTGAGCGGGCTGTGCAGGGACCTAGGACTGCTGCAGAAAGCCTTCTCTTAGAAGAGGACTGTCATTCTTTGGCATCCACTGAATGTTTGCGGGGAACGTGGCACTAGACCACTGTAAAGGATTTGTTGTTGCATCAGGAATACAACAGAGGGAGAACAGCTATTCCACTGAGACCTGTTCCTCCAGCAAACATATTGGGCACCTACTACATTCTAGTGACAATTTTAGGAGACACAAGGGCTTATAAAAAAAAATTTATGTAAACAGATTGAGAGGAGATCTAACAGAAAAAATTTTAATGACAATTTTAACCTAACATGTAAATTCTAAAATAAAATATGTCTCTCTTTCAAACTCATAAACCTTATTTTTATTTTAGTTCTACCAGGGCATTAAAGAATGCACTACTGGTGCTAGGTAACTTGCTAATAGGTTTGCAAGAGACTTCTGCTTTGTTTTGAGATCTTATTCATAAATCTGGCCACACTGGGGAGAAACTAAATGCTCTCACACTTCGCTGTTAGAAGTGTAAATTGGTCTAATACCTATGGAAACAGTTTGGCATTATCCACTAAACTAACAAATAATAATAACCTTTGCGCTAGCAAATTCACATCTCATAAAGTATTCTAAAAACTTTGTTTATGATAGCAAAAGATTGGAATCAAGATAAATGTTCCTCAGTAGGGATTTCGTAAAATTTAGTAAAATTGTCTATCCTTACAGTGGAATGGTATGCAACTGAAAAGAGAAGAAATGTCTATATGTTATGTATGATAGGGAAAAATCATCAAATGTATTGCTATTTTAAAAAAGCAAGGTGCATAAGTATATGTAATATGCTGTTATTTGTGTAAAAAAATGTGTGTGTGAGGGAGAACTATATATAGTATTTGTTTATAGATACATAAATAAATCTCTGGAGGGGTACACAAGAAACTAATACCACTGGTTACCTATTTGGTGGAGGAAAATGGGGAGGAAGACAGGACAGGGACGGGAAGGAGACTTCACTGTCACTTAGTTTACACACACATACGCTAAACTATGCATGTATCACACATTGCAAAAATTAAGTAATTTAATTCTAAAATGAAAATAAATCTAGTCACACTCTTTACTTTAGATGAGATTTTATGTTCGCTCTCCTGTTTGCTACTTATGTGGTTATTTCCCTAGTTGGAAAATAGGTCACACTATTCTCTTTATTTGTAAACTTTTTTCATTTAAGATTTTGGATCTGCAGCAGAAATTAGAACATGCTCATAAAGTCTGTCTCACAGACACTTGCATTTTGAGGAGGAAGCAGCTAGAGGAGAGGATAAAGGAAGCAATGGAAAATGAAGCTAAAATGAAGCAGCGGTATGAGGAGGAACAGCAGAAGAGGTAAGAGGAACAAAGATGTCATTTCCCCTCGGGCTGGCTGTGGCCGAGTCTCCCTGCAGTGTCAGTCACCACTGTGTTTCCTGTGTTCCCACTGAAGTAAGCTCAGTTGCAAAACTTCATATATAAAGCACTTATCATTATACTGTGTTCTAGCTTCTTTATTTTCTGGTTTGCCTTTCACCCTAGAGTGTGGAGTTCTTAAGGGCAGAGATTATTTCCTGTTCTGGGACACACTTGGTACACCAGTAAACCTTCTTGAATGAATGGGTTGCCTATGAAATATGATACTCTGGGATTTGCTTTTCTAACTCTACACAATTGGCACAAAATGAAGACTAGAATGAGGTCTGTGTTTTGTTATTTGTCAGCTGATTTTCCTCAAAGAAGATCCAAGTACTTTACAGACTTCTTAATCATTAACACGCAGGTACAAGATAGGAGCTGTCATAGTTGTCTCTAAAATTATTTTGATTGTTACTAGGATTCTTACTTGTGGTGGAACAAGGCAGGCTGGGGTCTCAGGTGGTGAAAGAATTTACCAAAGGCCAAGGATGAGAATAGGAAGAGAGTTTATTAGGTTGCACTGCCATAGACAACAGTGGGCCACACAGACTAGAGGCGCCTGTGTGAGCCCCGAGGGTGGACTGTTGAGGTGTTTTGTGAGGGAGGGTTACATCAGGTACCACAGAAGTTTTGATTGGTTGTAGGTGAGGTAAGAAGTTTAGGGTCAGTGAAGGGCAGTGGGATATGGCTCTGATAAAGTGGAGACATGGTCTGAAATGAACAAGCCTGAGCTATTGTGAAATTAGACATTACCTAGGGCTATTCGTAAAGAATGTTCTATATCTGTTGAGGGATCACAGGCAGATGTCTGAGAGCCCAGGTATGGGGGTCATTGGACTTTGAAGTTGGCCCCACATTACTTGGATGACCTTGTTGTAGACCCTAAACTTCAGTAACCAATGCTTCTTATTTCTATAGCACTCGAATGATTCACATATATCTTGGTGGGGAGAGTATAGCTCAGCGGTAGAGTGCATGCATGGGGTCCTGGGTTCAATCCCCAGTACCTCCTCTAAGAATAAATAAATAAACCTAATTGCCTCACCCACAAACAAAACAAAAATGATTCACATGTATCTTTTAAAAATATGGTTCTAACTACTGAAGAGATATACAGACATTCACATAAACTATGAAGCTCCTAAACTTACTTTCATCTCTACTTGAAGGCTCTAGCATTCAGTAGGTGCTCAGTAAAGATACAGTGAATAAATGAATGTTTGAGTAAGTGAATGGGTGTATGAATGGATAATGAACAGTTAGGTGTAATAGCACAGCCACATCTACCGGGATGGTGCTCGCCTCCTGTGCTGGTACAGCTGGATCCTGCGTGAACTGCAATTAGTACACCTTTTAAAGCGTTGCTCACAGAGCAAGAGAAAGCCCTATGGCCAAACATACAATGAGACAAAACAAAAATAATGAATGGTACTCCAACTTCTAAGTCAAGGGGCAGATAAAACTATCAGCTCCAGGTTCAGGAGAAGCCGAGGACGTCTGCCACAGGGTAGGCTAGCTGACCAGAGACTCTGGTGTTAAGCTGGGTATCTTGAAAGAGCTAAGGTGTTCTGCAGTAGGAGCCTCCTGGCTTCCTAATTAAAGAAATCTAAATTATCTCTGGAGAAAGCAACCCCAATTGAGATATTAAGGACTCCCATATATTAAATTTAATCAAATATATGCTTATAATCAAAAAGCACCAAATAACACAAGGAAACTGATTACCATGAATGAGAGTCAGCAGAAAAAACAAACACCAGGTTTACAACCCCCCAAAATGTCGGTAATTAGAATTACAAAGACCAGGTTGTAAAGCAACTGTGTGGGTCGCTTCCCCTTCTAAGTGAGGTGGCCCCTGCTCTGTCCATAGAATGTGTATCTCTCTGAATAAATCTACCTTTGCTCAAAAATAAATAAATAAATAAAAGCTGTGTAAAGTTTATAAAGAAACAAAAGATGTAATCAAAGAACTGAATGGGAGAAGGGCTATTTAACTTTCCTGTAACCTGGTTTCCTATGTCTGAAGTGAGAATAGTGATAAACTGCTTTTTGTGGGTGTGAAGATTGGCTGAGAAGAAATAATGTAGAAGTAATATTTAAACTAAGTATAGGAAAATGAAATACGTAGGGAAATTCTTTTCCTCAAAAAAGGGACTATCTAGTACACGTTGTTTTATAACCTGAAGAAAGCAACCTCAATATAGATATTTAGATTATAACCTACTTTTTTCACTTAAACTCGTATAATCTGTTACCTGCATTAAACTTTCTTCTAGAATATTATTTTAATAATATGCCATAATTTATTTACTCAATCCTTTATTGTTGGACATTTACATTTTTCCAGTTTCTTGCCTATAAAAAGAATAGCATAATATATATCCTTGTACCCATTTTTTTTGCATGTCCTCTATTTCCTTGGGATAAATTCCAGCAAAGTGTAATTATAATTATCTCTGCTTATTGTAAAATTTCAAATATTAAAGAACTATATAAAATAAAAGGCATAAGTTCTTCAGAATTTTACCCTTCATCAATAACCACTTTAAGTGGGTGCTACGTATTTCTCGAAATTTTTTCTATGCATTTGCATATGTTTTTTATTATTCTTGTTTTGCTAAAGAAAAGTTAAGTCATTTTAGCTATATTGCTTGGAATTTGCATTTTTCACCTAACAATCTAACATGGGCATCTTATTAGCCACTTAGTAGCTGCATCATCTTGGACAAGTTTCTTATCCTCTCAGGGCCTGTCCACATCTCTCTTATAGCATCATTATGTGAATTGGATGAGTTATTAGCAGTTGGCTTGTATCAGTGTCTAGCACATAGTAAGCACTTGTATCAGTCCAGGTTCAGTCAGAGAAGTATAACCAGAAAGAGGAAAATGTGTATAAGGAATTTGTTACAGAGATTTGGTCTTATGCAATTGTGGGAGCGGGTTACACATCTGTAAGGCTGTCGTCTGCCTCTTATGCTGAAGCTCCAAGTCTGCAGGGCAAATAGTCAAGTCAGGAAGTGAGGGAGAGCTGAACCCATGAGCACAGGCTGAACCTGGGAGGCTGGACTAGAAGCCATGTCAGTCTCATTGCCTCCAGCCTTGATAGAGTAGGTGTCCTGCTTCGTCAAGGAGAAGCTGGTCCCCCTCATTTAGGAACTAAAGAGACACATGGCCCAGGAGATGGAGAAGGTGGAGGAGGATCGGAAGGAAGGTAGAGCAGTTACAGGCCCAGCTGTGGCTCACGCCAAGGCGAACAGCAGAGAAGCAGCATCGGTATGAGCCACAGAAGCACCTGCTCCAACCTGCCAAGTGTAAAAGCAAAATGCTTCACTTCTACCCTCCAGATCTGGCACAAATAGATCTCTTGTAGGCTGCTCTAACCCAAAATTTGTGGAAGGAATTCCTAGCCAAGTTGACGTATCATACAAAGCCACTACTACCAAGATGTTATTGTTGTTATTTTAATATTTGATGTTACTGTTGTCAGATTCATCATCCTCTTCAGTGAAGTGAAAAATGTTCATTTTGTCTAGAATATAATGTTTGGGGATTAGAGAAGAGGCAAAAAAATGCTAGAAAGGTAAGCTAGGTCTGGTCATGTCGAGCCTACCAGCCACATCATGGATTTGGACCTGTTCGTGAGAGAGATTGGTCTACAGTTTTCCTTTCTTGTAATTTCTTTATCTGGTTTGGGGGTTAGGGTATGCTGACCTCATAGAATTAGTCAGGAAGTGTCCCCTCTTCTTCAGTTTTTCTGAAAGAGACTGTAGAGAATTGGAATCATTTCTTTCCATTTGGTTGGTAGAAGTCACCACTGAAACCATCTGGGCCTAGTGCTTTATTTTTTGGAAGGTTATGAAGTATTGATTCTATTTCTTTAATAGATATAGGCCTATTCAGATGATCTATTTCTCCTCGTGCTAAGTTTTAGCAGATTGTGTCTTTCAAAGAATTGGTCCATTTCATTTAAGTTATCCAACCTGTAGGCATTGTCCTTTTATTGTCCTTTTAATGTCCACAGAATCAGTAGTGAAATGAAGATCCTTCTTTCATTTCCAATATTAGTAGTTTGTGTCTTCTCTAGCCTGGCTAGAGGTTTACCAATTTTATTGATTTTTTTTCAAAGAACCAGCTTTGGTTTCATTGTTTTTCTCTATTGTTTTCCTATTTTTGATTTTATTTATTTCTGCTCAAGTTTTTATTATTTGTTTTCTTCTGCTTTATTTAGACTTATATTAGTCTTCTTTCTCTAGTTTCCTAAGGTGGAAGCTTACTGATTTTCATTCTTCTTTTATATTTGCATTTAATGCTATAAGTTTCTCTCTAAGCACTGCTTTCACCATATCCCACAAATTTTGTAAGTTCTGTTTTCATTTTCATATAAAATATGTGTAGTTTAAAATAATTTTAAGATTTCTCTTTGACACCTATTTTTTTTAAATACATTAATTATAGTGCTCTTTATTATTTAAAAAGTTGGAAACAACTTAATTGTTCTGTTATAGAGAAATAAAGATACTGTATTTTATCCAAAGAATGAAATTTTTTCTTCAAAATAACTTAATGATATCTTGAGATATTAAGTGCAAAATCTTAGATACACTAAAATAACCATTTTGAAAATGTATATATTCATTCAATATTAACATTAATTAAACATTTATTATGTGACAGGATAATGTTCTGAGTCTTTTTTTTAACATTTTTTATTGATTTATAATCATTTTACAATGCTGTGTCAAATTCCAGTGTTCAGCACAATTTTTCAGACATTCATGGACATATACACTCTCATTGTCACATTTTTTTCTCTGTCTTTGACACCTATTATTTAGATATAAGTATGTTTGTTTAATCTCCAGATATTTTGTGATTTTCCACCTTTCTGTTACTGCTTTTGTAGTTTTATATTAAACAGTTGCATACAATTCTGTTACATAGCTGTATCATAATTTATGTAAAATGTTTTTTAGACTTTGTGTTGTTATAAATAATTTTATAATTAATATCTTGATACATAAGACTTTGCAACTATAACAAAGTATGATAAGTGACACAGTAAGGGAGGTTAAGGTTGCTCTTGTAAAGTTACTGAACACAAGTTCATGTGCCTGATGCACAGTGAGGCCAAACTGAAACATCCAAGCTTGGAGCAGAGAAAGGTTTATTGCAAGGCTGAGCAAGGAGGACGGGTGGCTCATGCACCCAAAAGCCCCAAACTCCTTGAAGGGTTTCAGCAAGGCATTTTTAAAGGCCAGATGAAGGAGGGGCATCCCAGGGTGTGTGACCATCTTGTGCACAGTTCTTTGGTTGGTTGATGGTGATCAGTCCTTAGGTGCCAGAAGGTCTGGGGACTACTGCTCATGATCATCAAGTAGTTAATTTCTTCCTTTTGGTGGTTGTTTTTAGCATCTGAAAAACTCAGGAAATATGCAAGAGATACTGTTATCGGGGTACTTGGAGAGGAGCTACAGCAGAGGATATGGGGGCCAGGAGTCTGTCCCTGGAAGGTCTCATAGGGTCCTAGTTGGTTCCAGAAACACATAGCAGGGACATCTAATTTGGTCTAAGAAGCTCAAGAAAGCCTTCCTCAAAGAAAACTGTTTAAGCTGGGAGTGAAGTGGTTTGTAGGAGGAAGCTAAGTGGAGAGTACTAGGCAAAGGCAGGCCTCACGGGGAGGATGGGGAAAAGGCTGGCGCTGTAGGGGAGGAGGAAGGGTGGAGGACAACTTGTTACAGGAAGTGAAAAAAGTTCATTTTGCCTAGAACTAAATGTCTGGGGGTAGAGGAAGAGGCAGGAAAATGAGGCTGGGAAGGTAAGCTAGTTCACAAGCCATATTAAAGAATTTGGACTTTTTATCTTAAGCGTAACGGGGAATGCTGCAGCAGTGTTAACATGTGAGCATTAGTATCAGTAGTGTTTGTAACTAACAATCTTGTATTCAACCAAGAAGATAAGGGATTCAACTCGTAAACCAAAGAGGACAAATAAAAAGAACAGAATTCAGAATTAAGAGCCCGCCTCCATCTTGTCGGAGCTGTGTGACCCTGAGCACAGCTTCCTCTGTGAAATAAGAAAATTATTTGAGGAGCAAGAGATAAAACTAGGGAAAGCTTCTGTCACAAAGGATTTTCCTTTGGTGTTGATCCCTGATTTATCTTATGGATGTATACCTTGCCTCAATTTTAGGTCAAAGAGTTTCTTTTGCAAAGCTTTGCAATTCACAGTGGAATTTAATGAACATTATTGCCCTCAGGAAACTCCTTGATCAGAATATGAATGAGCTACAAAAGCAAGTGAAACTCCTACAGGATAAAGAGAATCAACTGGAAATGACCAGTTCTCAGCAACAATCCACAATTCAGCAACAAGAGGCCCAACTTAAACAACTGGAAAATGCAAAAAGAACATCTAATGAGGTAAGAAAACAAACAGGAGTGCCGCTCAGCTTCCCTGTTCTCTCAGAACTAAGTAATAGTTCGTAGCAGCTAATGATGATTGAACGCCTAGCATTAGCATTTTCACCCATTAAGTTTAGTCAGGCTTCAGTCGGGAGAGCAGAATCTACTCTAGGTGTTCTGAGCAAGAAGGGATTTAACACGGGGAATAACATGCTTACAAAACTGCTGGAAGGGAGAGGCAGGGGTGAGCAGAAGGTCAGAAAGAACTGTTGCTGGCTTTCAATAAATCCAGCCGTTCATAAGTCTCAGGGAAGTCCTGCAGCACCAAAGTGGGAGATTTACAGAAACTCCCTGAAGCCCTTACAATTGTGTCATCTGCGGTCTGCCCTTTAACCTACCTGGTAATGTTACCCAAAAACCGGGTTCGACTCTTGGTGGGTATCAAACCCTAAGATACAACCAAGCCAAAGAGCGGGAGGAGGAAGGATTTATTACTTGCAGCAAGTAAGGAGAACATCGGGGAGCTTTCCCAAAGAGGTGTCTCCCCACCAGCAATACTGAGGATGTTTTAAGCTAAGGGTACATGCATATTCATGAGGGATCTTGAGCAGAGAATTCAGCATAGAATTGGGGCAAAGGTCAACAGAGTCCAGGCTTCAGTTGATTGAAGTCAGGAAAGTCAGCATCACCATTCTGTCCCCAACCTTGTTGGGACTCAAAAGTGCATATCAGATTGTTCTGTATATCCCTTGAAGAGGAACCAGAACTGTTTCATCACTGAGCTATTGTTTCTTAACTGCTTTTCCTTTGTTCCTGCATTCCTTCACTTCCCTTAAGATCATTAATTACTGAGACCTATTCAAGGACAAGTGCTGAATTACAGAGACTGGTTCAAGGGCAACTACTGTGGCCAGGCTTAGATCCCAAAATGGCTCAGTCCAAAAATGACTTCTCTTATGTTAAAAAAGCCATGCCTGGTTCTTTCTCTGGGGACCCCTTACCCTATCTGCTCACAGAAGTGGTGGAGGAGAACAGTGGCTTTTCCAGTGCTTTCTCAACTATGTACAATTGCCTCTCATTTGCAGAAACTAAATGGAAACTCTGCTGTCAAGGGAGCCTGGGAAAGGTCATTTTCAGACTTTGAACCTTGCAGCACAGGGGACAGCTTTGAAAAGTAGAGGTCCTGGTGAGCAATGCCGGTCCACTTTGTGTAGGTAGCGTCCATACAAGCCTCCTTACCCCGTTTTAACTTTATAAACAATAAGAAGAACGTTATGCCTCCACCTAATAATGATGCGGTGTCACTCATATAAATGAAGACACGCTTAACCTCTCAAAGTCCATCAGTTTCTGCGGTCATTTGGGGGTAATGTTAATTGCTACTTCTTCAGCCTCAATCCACATGGATATGCTAACTTTAAAACTTAATTATAAAGTTAACTATCAATAATACAGTAACACACATTTTGCCAGTGCGGTGTAGGTTCAGGAAGCTACTCCCATACCATCTCTTGGTTTCTTTCCACATATTCTGGCTCTGAGAGAAACAGCATCATATATCAGTCACTGGTTAAAAGTTTAGACATCATCTTGTAGGACATCACTGAACCCTAAAAGATGTTGTAACCTAGTCAGCATCATATCTACATCTTTCATAGATCTTTCCACTGGTTCTGCAGGTTAGTTTTTTTCTGGATATATGAGAAGACCAATGACTCTCATATATATGAGCCTTTGTTTCACTTCTCTTACTGTAAAATGATTTCCTTGGTCAGAAGCCATGCTGCGTGGCAGTGTATCATGACAAGAAATTAAGAATTTGGTAAGTCTACAGATGGTGGTCCTGGCAAAAGCATTGTGGACAGAGAAAGCAAATCCAAATCTAAAATGAGTGTCTGTTTCATTGAGGACAAACTGTCATTCTCTCCGTGGTGGAAGGGGTCCAGTATAATAAACCTGCTACCAGGTGACTGCCCAGCCCCCCCCCCCCCGGTGGATGGTACCGTATCAGTTGCTCAAATTGATCTTTGCTTTTGGCGAGTTGAGTGGATTAGCATTGGTGACCCCTTAGAAAATATATTCCCGCCACCATGCAGTTTGTACATGAGCTCACTGAGCAAGCAAATAGGTGATAGAAAAAGAGGCTAAGTGATATCTATAGAATGTCACTTCTACAGTGAAGAATGTACTATTTTTTCTCTCTGGTGATTGAGGGCCAGCTCTTTTGTAGAAGCCCTCTGATGAACAAAAAACACAGGAAACATGTATTGTCACACTAGGCCTGCACTGTCCAATGTTGTGTCAGCTAGCCACATGTGGCTACCTACATTTAAATTAAATTAATTAAAATTAAATAAAGATTAAAATTCAGTTCCTCAGCACACTAGCCACGTTTCACGTGCTCAGTAGCTACATGTGGCTAGTGACCACCATATTGGAGGATGCAGACGTAGAACATTCCCACCAATCCAGAAAATTCTGTTGGACTGCATTTCTAGTCTAGACCCCTTTCCCAGACCTGTTTCAAGTGGTTGCAGCATATTGTACTGAATCATATGTAAATCATACTTACATATTGGATCATATGTAAATCAGGCCCAAATTTATCCTTTCTTGGTTAGCTGGTCACAGAGAACTCCCCACGAGGTCACAGGTTTGGGTTGAGAGAGGGAGCCATGCAGTAGAAGTAAGTACCACTTGCTCATGCAGCTTGGAACCTTTAGGACCTGCTCAGGCGCAGCATTTGACACAGCAGTTCCTTTAGAGGATGGAGTTCTATACTACTGTGCATGCCCAATTCACAGGCTCGGTGATTAATTGAATACCTTGTTTCAAGAAGGGCAGCACAGGTTACTCGATCACCTGATTTCTCATGGCCAACCATTCAGTCTCCACCAGGACCCAGAGACAAGCAAAGACCTTTCTCAAAAGGCGAGTGGTAATTATGGGAGGAGAGATGGCTTTCCTCCCAAATCCTAAGATTAAACTAAAGCTTTCCAGAGGCTCCACATTGCTTTCTCATCTGCCACCGAACCTTGGAGCAGTTTTGGATCTGCTGGGTGATAAAGCCCAAATGGCATAGCAGTTTGCCCTGCAGCCCAGCCCAGCACAGGTACCGCTGAAACCGTACAGGCTTGGAGGTTGCTTGATAAATGGGTTGAAGGAGCAAGAATGGTTATCAGTGGATTCTAGAATCTGAAGAGGCGTTACAAGCACTTGGCCTTTTCTACCATCAATAGCCCTCACTCCTCAGATTGGAAAGTCAACAAGGAGAGTCTGCTCTTCCAGGTTGTCCAGTCTGACGTACATTCAAGAATTTGGAAATAAGCATTGAGGAGATTCACAAACCCACTAGGCCCACTGTGAACCCAGTGAATCACTGAAGATGTCCTAAGACACACTGTGAGATCACACTCCACTTTCTACCTTACTTTGTTAAGCCCCCACTCTGAATTGTGAACCTCAGTCCCATTTTGGGTTCCAAGGTACTTGTGTTGACCCAGAACCACTGTACTGTATGTAATTCCCCCGAAGTCTCTATAATTCCCTTTCTCCAATGCCCAGTCACCTGGGTAAAAGGCCACAGGTCTCTTTGGGGATGGCTTGGGAGAAAAGCACATCCTTGTGGCAGTGTTATACACAAGGTTCTTCCTGAAGTTGACCTGGTGAAAGGACCTTGGGTCTTTGAACTGGCTCAGATCTGGGGATTGAGTAGAAGGCTGTTACTCTCCATTGTTGTCATTTAAGTTGGGCCTATGTTCACCAGACCTAGGTGGGTTTATTTATGTATTAATTTAAAAATACAACTCAAGTAAAACTTTAATAGGTTCTTCATCTATGTTAGTCCTGTAATTACTATGATCAATTAACTACAACCAAAGTTTGCTACAAATCAAACCATTTGGCTGTATCTCTGGCCCTATTATCTAATAACTGTAATAATGCCCACCTTGCATCTGAGAGTTAAACATTGCCATTTGACCTCTGACACTCTGCAGTACCATCATCCCCACTAAAATCGGGGGTACGTTTCAATGTTGGCACCTCCCACTGTTATCCTCAGTAGAATATTATAGAGAACTTCAAGGAATCTGAGCTCCCCGCCCACCAGTGTATTTGGCAAAGCCTTGGTGAAAGGAATGTCTTATAAGTGATGTGTGGGTCATGGTGATGATGTGGGTAAGCAGGTCACTCATGATAAATCTACTCCAAGTTTCCTATATACTTAAGACTTTGGATTCCTTCCTCTCACTAATGCCAAGGAAGTATGGCATCTTAATGTCATTTAACATAGGTCACTGTTGAGTCCAAGATTCAGTCCATCTACCAAGCAAACTATTAAAGTTACGCTAGATGTTAAAATTAACACATTAAATCCTGAATCTCTGGTAAGTGCATCCATGTCAGCCTGTTCAATATTATTCTCCTTTCTCCATAGTATAACACCCTATGGATACATTCCTGCATATATTCCTCAGGTTTCTGCCAATTTAATTTGGCAAAATCTTTCCATTATTTCACTATGGCAGTCCTCCTAGGTCAGTCTCTATACTCAAAGCCCACTCCCCAGGAGGTGCTGGGATCTGACTCTAGTTGTAGGATTGG